ACTTATGAGATAAGCTGTTCACAGTATAGACACAGTGGCTAGTGAAGACTTGAACAAGACCATGACCAGCGGTCCAAGCGTACAGCCAATACTCTCCCCAAAAGTAAGTTGGAACGAAGATTGGAATGACTATGCAGGTGATGAATCGGATCAAGGTATAGTGACTATATGTATAGAAGGGATTTGGAAAATAACAAGAGAAGTAGAGAATACTTAGGTACGAGAAGAATGATCGGATTTTCATACCAACAAGATATTACGAATATAAATAATTTCTATCATAGTATATTTAACTATATTATGAAATTGTATTCACAAATTATTTAGATTTTCAATACCAAACTAATGCAGGATCGCATTATGTACTAAAGTATGACAAATTTTACTGTAAGATCAAACGCAAAAGACTTTATTCATTAATTATTTTCAATTTTTCAGAGGTATATTTACCAACTTTACGATACTTACCGGTGATGGAACATTAGAATGGGATCATTGTATAAATCATCGAGGTTGATATTTTTGCCTTTATTTATCACTTCAGGGTGTTTATGAAGAAGTAACCAGCCAAAGTGAGAGTAGAATAATCCGCGCTTGGCGTTGTGGGGATCAGCATCAGTATCGGAATATTTATGATGAACGCGATGGTCACGACTCCACGTAAAGGCGGTAATCCCATTAGCGATGGCGTACATGAAGAGCAGTAAAATTCTTAATGGAACAGTTGCTTTGAAAGCCCTATTTTAATACAGAATGTAGAGTTATTGAAGAATATTATCCGAAGTAGAATTAGCATTGAACTGTATGAAATTACTAACGGTATCTATTTAATGATCCTAACACAGGTTACGACTACATCAACTCATGTGATAGAAAGAATTATACGAACCTCAATAAGATAATTGTTATATTTTTCTAGATTCTAGTTATATGAGTATGTCGATCGACTAACCTATGGGAATATAGCCGATGAACACAAACACCATTTCCAAGGATAGCACAATAATGATAAAAGATCACCCAAAGAAGGGACTGCCATTTGAGATAAAAGAGATGGTAAAAGCCCACACATGCCAGTATGTGATAGTATGTATGATATATTATAGCAACGATATGGTATTTTCCTGGATGCGGCTTAACTTCATCTTGTGCAGCCTCTTTTACGAAGTCGAGGTCAAATTCTCCTTCCTTGGTTATCAATGTTCTAGTACTTGTTAAGGGTAAGGGCGCCATAGCTATAATGTAATTGAAATATAGAAGAATGATAAGCGGTATTATAATTTGCTATTAATATCTATATAGTTAATAAAACATCTTATTGAGATAAATAAATATGAATTAAATTTATCGCAAAGATAAACTATAGAATACAGATATTTTCATTCTATCACTTTAATCTTGTGTATAATACTGAACACTATGCGATATAAATGATTTCAATTTTTACCGATTTTAAAATTCTGTAAGTGTGGGAAGTTAATTAAAGTTGATATCCACTATTTTACATTTATTCTCTAACAGCTCGTAGCATAATTTTTTTTCTCTATCTCAAAATCATTCGGCAAATTGATTGTTCATTATTGAAGCTCAAGTTAATCGCTAGCGCTATAAACTAATTACCGTGGTTAATTATGAATTAAAAATGTCTCAAGCTTTAACCTTAAATCATCCTATTCCAATAGACTGCTACAGTCATAAGAGCCGCAAGAGCAACGAACTAAATCAGTTGAATGTTCGGGTACTAGTGCTAGAATTGAAACTTTTGATTATAAATTATAAATCGTGTTTTAATCTGTATGAATCACTTTTACTAATTATAACTTATTTAATCGGTAAATGAAAGATAAGATTTTGTAAAATATTTTACCTCGAAGAAGCGTTAGAGGTAAATAATATACTAACTAGCTATATATTGAATTGTATTGATAATAATTAATATTGAAATTGCTGTTCAGGGATGAAAGAAATATATTGCCGTTATCAAGATATAATTTAGACTTAAATTTATTCTAGAGATCACTCAAACTTTTATAAGCGCATGTATTATCAATTGGATCCGTAAGTAGATGAAAAAGCAATTATTACCGGAACCTCTT